TTCCGATACATCAGGAAGTCGAAGATCGCGCTCGTTGTCTTCTCCAAGCATTACGCAGATTCATACTGGTGCTTGGACGAGCTCGTGGAGATCAAGAAATGCATGGAGGTGGAGAAATTGCATGCGATCCCTATATTCTACAAGGTCAAGGCTGCCCACGTGAAGAAACAGTCTGGCAAATTCGGCGAGAATTTTCTGAAGCTGGAGAACGATTTGCTCGGTGAACTTCAGGGGAATGCGAGGAAACGTGCAAACTCTAGAATCAAGAGATGGAGGAAATCTTTGGTCCGTGTGGCGGGAAACATTGGCTTGACCTACGAAAAGAAGAGGTGACTAATTTGTGATGCATGTAGGGTATAACGAAGGTGTTTTCACACGGTCGGTCCAAAGATTAGAGCTTCCACATTCAGCTGGCTTTTTGTCTAACTTGTTTTGGCAGCTCAGAGAAAGATTTCGTTCAAAAGATCGTCGTTGAGGTTAAGAGAGCGTTCGCCAAAATCTCGTCAGAGGAGAGAAAGAACTACTCTTCCCCCATTCCATCCCTAGAGAAGGAAAAAACCCATCTGGTGTGTGTGTCTCTTTATGTCCATCTTCAGTATTTTCAAGTTTACTGAATAGTCTTGTCTCTGTCTGTATCTTATTTAGTAAATAGTTTCACGGACAGGAACCACAAAACCCTATTGTGTTCGACGTCAACCAGTTAGGGAAGCTGTTCCACCTGTCGAGACCGTTGGAGGCTCTAAGTCTTGAAAGATGGAATCCTGAAAGCCGAACACTTTTCCCCGGTCTGCTCTCGTCGATGCAGGACAGGAACAGCCTCGGGTTTCTTACAGGACAATTCAGTATGAACCCTGTTGAACACCTAAACCTGAATAACCACTCATTCTTTCCGCAGTTTCAGCCAAATCTTCAGGGGCTACAACCGCACAGCCCGTTTGATTCGGTCCAAAAAGCCACAAACTGGCTTGCCCTTCTAAAGCTGACCGAGCAGACTTATCCCGCGTTGGTTTTCATGAACTGGGACAAAATGGATCAAACCGTGAAGAACAGTATCCTATACCAGGCATGCAGAAGAAGCCAGCAATTTGCAAATTTACTAGGGCTCTACAACGGGGTAGCTCTCTCTATCTCTGACTACATGAAAGTCCCTCTGTTAACTGTTTGATAATATGATTTTCGTGCAGGGTGTTGATTTGGTTCCCGTACAGAGGATTGGAGATAACAATGCCTCTTTTTTGGTCCAGAGCAATCAAAGTAACCCTTTGCCGGCCAAAACCATCTGTAAGTTGGCAGTTTATTATCAATAGATCGTTATTCATATATCGGTTACAAAACATGATTCACTTCGATCGTCTGTTTGAATTGATTCTTAGTGACGGGTGGAATGAACGTGGTACCGCAACTGGTTGCAGCGACTCATCAAGGCAGCAATGTCGATGTCCCTAATGGCGATGATGATCCAAAGGAGAGAGATGATACGAGTACGACGTGCTTTTCACTTGTTTGCTACTGGTTTAGGTTTTGTTTCTGTATGAGTGATGATGGGAAAGACGAGCCTCTCCCGACAAGACGCCAGAGGATTCGCCATCGCTAAAGCCGAAAGGATACACTCTCTCGCCACCGAAGATGTTACTGTCTCTTGTCTACGTTCTTGTTCGTCTGATTCAGCTTTCAAGCAACAAGTTTTCGAGTTGGCATCTTTTAATCATGTTCTTGTGTAAAATGGCGTCTTAGATCTGTTTCCTTTTGATCGTCATATCGCTTTTCCACGCAGAAATTCGTCTCTGGGTCAGTGAATTAATCGATGCATGTGTTCTTGGAATGATATCAAAAAGCGTATCTGTGGACACTTCACTGAGTCTTTCATGGTGACGGGACAACTGCATAGCAAAAAAACAAAACAAAAACCTTTTGGATGGTTGGCCCATTTTTCTAAAGCATAGATCAATAATTATAATATAATATAATATGCCAATTGGCATGTCTCTTTTGACCATCAATCAATTTGGGCGAAATAAGCAAATCTGAAATGAAGATAAAATGCACGTATAATTGTGTGTACTGTGTACAGTGTACACTACAATATAGATTTAGATATGCATATATCATATATGATTATGTGGTTGAGGGGTGACAAAGTTATCTTCAAAGTCATGAGTTCGATTTCACTGATGGGGAGGGATGTAATTTCTGGACCAAAATGATCCATATCCAAAGGCTGGTCTCGAACCTAGGGTGGATGTAGTCGGGTCGAATATCCGGGGAACCATTCCGGTTATCAAAAAATATATATATATTCAGTTTCAATATGCAATATTGTATACACGCCTTGATATTGAATTTTATTATTTTATTTACTTTGAAAGTTTCTGAATATCTAGATTTTTTTTTATCAAATTGAAGCAAACAATAGATGGAAAAAATATTACCAATATTTGAGGATGAGAAATTTTGTTATTAGTTGCCATAGTAAATATAAAATGCATGGACGCGGTACAAATATATAAATAAACAGAATACATAAACAAAGACTTGGCAGCAGAGACCCTATATATTAAACAAAGACCTTACGATGACTTCAATTATTGGAGCCGAACGTGTTTGTACATGCAATGTATATGATTATATCATACGTGAAATAAATACATGCACCGGTCCTCTGTTAGAAGAAACATGTTTCTGACATTTCACTATGGATTGATCTTCATCAAATTAAGAAATTTTCCGAAAATGATTCAGAAAAGAAAAAATCGAATAAGAATTTCATGTGAGAAAGATTAACAGTATAAATGCAACTGTTGAATCAAATACCAACCAGGAAATATGCAGATTCCTGGGATTTTGATCTTTGCTTCTATTTTCAAGTAGTGTGATCAATCGGGCCGACTCGAACCCGCACCCGGCTCGAGATGGTTTTAGATTCGGACCGGTCCGATTTTTTTCAGGTCTATATCACCAAGTCCGAAGTGTGGCCTTATAGATCTCGGGTTCGGACTTGGACCGGTTCGCACAGTATTTTTCTTTGTAAATGTATTTTTTTTTAAATATCAGGCTTTTTGAATCGACCTGAATCGAGTCCAAATCTCAAATCGAGTCCGATCCGAAAGTCCAAAATTTTTTTGGCCTAAATATCTCAATTCGAAGTCGGCTATTTTTCGGGATGGGTCGGGTCGGACCGGACTTCCGACCTCAGACCAAAGTCCGGCCCAAGAAACCGTTTGGTAAAGATCGTTTCTTGCGACCCAAGAAACCGTTTCCATATGAAAACGTTATTACATTACACACGCATTTGCCTTGACATTACACACGCATTTGCCTTGGCATCACATATTCTTCCTCCTGCTGAAACACCGCTGGAGCTTGACCTAAGCGGATATTCTTTGACGAATGGAACAAAACCATCTCGGATACGACGTTGTGGTTCTTCGATGTTCCGAAAAGTTTCTATTATATGATTCAGAGGACAAGAAACAAAACCAAAAATTATTACGGTTAGACCGGAATCAATCCAACAAACCGAACGCAACCGGTCAAGGATTTCATCCATTCCGGTTTGTCTCCTATGTATTTATTATATAATATTCCACAACGTTCATCCCAACAACTGCATTCGGAGCTATACGGTTTTCCTTGACTTGACTTCAAACCTAATTTGGTTAGAAATGTCTTGACCGATTCCTCCACATCAGTTTCTACTTTCTAGTATCACAGCAATTGTTAGAAGAAATAACTAATATCAAATGGATACAAAAAATAAATTACATATTTGTTATAGAGTAACATATTGTAATTTTCCCTTTGTATATAGGAATATGAAATGGATTTACATCATCAATACCGGTTCAAACGATACGACCAAAGCCCAGCTGACCAAGATTCTACCTAATCAATATATATATATGCATGCTGCTTCTAATATATGTCACCAAAAAAAAGATTCACTGACCCAAAACCCAATACATATAGCTACGTACATATATAGTTTCCCATTAGGTAGCGAGAGCTCTGTAACGCATCCGACCAAAATCTCCACACCTTGTCCTAAACACGAAAGAGTCGTCTCCTGGTCAATGGCATCTTCCTCGGCAATTGGACCGCCCCCGCCGCAGCATCAAGTGTTCATCTGTTTCCGGGGAGTCGATGTGCGGTATGGCTTCCAGAGCTTCTTGAGGGCAGCCCTGAAAAGGGGAAGAATAAAGGTGGCAGCGGATGTGGACGCGGTGAGGGGGCAACCCATCTACGAAAACCTATTAAAGATGATTAAAGGGTCGAGGATCGCGGTAGTGATCTTCTCAGAGAACTTCTCGGATTCGGAGTGGTGCTTGGGGGAGCTGGTGGAGATCAAGAAGAGAATGGATCTCGGGAAGATGAAAACTCTTCCCATCTTCTTCAGGGTGAAGCCGGACGACGTCCAAAATGCCACGGGAAGGTTCGGCGACATTCTCCTGCGGCTGGAGAATGACAAACGGAGGGAGGCCAAGGGAAATGCCGAGGCCTCTCAGCTTACGTCGGCCAAGATCGACCAGTGGAGAGACGCTTTGGAGTCCGTTTCCGACATCATGGGTTTGACTTGTGCAAAGGACAGGTACTGCCCTTTTACTTGTTTATATATGGAAGGTGATGCTGTCTTCTAACTATAAACATCTTCATATCACTTTTTTTTTTTTTTTTGGTACGATGGGAAACCCCTATCCTACAACCCTTCGGGTCGGACATCGGACACCGCAACGCCTCTCAGCCCATAGGCCGGACGAGAACGGCATCAGGACAGCATCGCGGACCTGAGAAAACCCACCGCCCTACGCAGTAGCCGGCAAACCACGCAGAGCAGGTAAACCAGCTTCGTAAAGCTGACCGGCTCAAGGGGAGTACCATACCTGGGATTCGAACCCACAACCTCATGGTAGAGGGGGGTTGTCATTAACCACTAGGCTGGGGACTCCCCCACTTCATATCACTTTTAACTACAACTCAAGATACGATTCCTTATTTCATCCACGCATGACACTTCAACACAACATATAATTAGGGTTTGGTGCTTCCCTAAGTTTTAGGAACTCAAGCAAGGCATAGACTTAGTCTTTGTTTTAAAACATTGATGGTCACAAATGTTTAAACTTATGGCATAATGACGTAGATGTCAAAACCAAGATTGCAAAATTAATCCTGCATGTTGCTTGAGGCTTTTGGCCAAGCCTAGGGGTCTCATTATAGTTTTATTCATCACTCCATTGGCAGATACCAGGCCCCTTTTGTGGATGAAGTCGTTGAGAGGGTGAAGGAAATGTTAGCCAACATTCCATCAGAGGTAATTAAGGTCCAATAACCATTGAATTGTATGTATGGCTCTCCATCAATCAGCATCGATATATTCATATATTATATATATGATATATATAGCCCTAATTTAAAATCTTGCACGGAGCAGCACCAAGTATACATAAATTTCCGGGGAGGGGACGTACGGAAAAGTTTCCTCAGCTGTCTGGTGGACGCATTGAGGAGAAACGGGATAGGCGTGTTCATCGACGTGGAGATGCTGATAAAGGGAGAAGACCCACGCGACACCTTCAACAGGAGCATCAGAGAAGCGAGGGTTGCCCTCGTCATCTTCTCCACCAAATACGCGCAATCAAGATTGAGCTTGGACGAGCTAGTTGAGATCAAGAATCTCATGGCCACGAAGAAGCTTCAAGTCATTCCCATCTTCTACAACGTCAAATCCTCCGACGTGAGAAGACGGATGAGAGAGCTCAGCGATAAACTTCGTTACCGGACATCGAGAAATGAAGACAGGATCATGTCCTGGAGAGAAGCTTTAGAGTGTGTCATGACAACGACTGGTTTCACCTATGGAGCCTACGGCAGGTTGACGACTTGCTATATATATATACACACACAAGAAACTGCGACTTTTTGCTGTTTGACCATTAGAACGTCTTTGGTTTTTTCTCACTCAGCAAAGAAGCAGATTTGGTGGATATAATCGTTGAGAAGGTTAAGAAAGTGTTGGCCCGAATTCCTCCCAGGGAGACAGAGAATCCCCCTGCCTGTGACGACAGCCCCAATGGTCCGTTTTTTTTCCTAATTTTTTTTTTCAATCTTAAATCTTTCCCTGAAATCTATCTCATCTCGTCGACAGGAGGGTCGACGATGGGAGAGCAAACATAGCCGCAGAAAGAGGAAGTCTTCCTGCTTCAGCAACTCCAGGAAGATAACTCAAGTGGAGCTCTGTTCTTCCCGGCTCTTGTCAGATTCTATCCATTTCAAGTCTTTGTTCATTACATATTGAAACCACAACTTAGAGAAGAAACGTCACAGTATGTTGAAAAACGCTTGTTTGTTATTCTTCCACCCATGTTTCCCTTTGGTAAGAATGTTTCTTGCAACCCAAGAAACTGTTTTTGTATGAAAACGCTCTTACATTACATATACATTTGCCATTTTCATCACATATTATTCCCCCTGCTGAAACATCGCTGGAGCTTGACCTCCTCGATCGGAATAGATTCTTCCGGAAAGTTGCAGGGAACCGTCGTCCCGGGCTGCTTCTCCGGCAACAACTCGCACGCCTTCGGAGTCACTCCGCTCGTAAAACCCGAAACGTCCGTACAATTCCAAAGGACCTTCTTCGGTTTCTTGGCTAAACCGATTGTCACATTCGATATGCAGATTCCGGTAAACCGGTCTCCTGGTATACCGGCCAATTGAGCCGGCATTGTCACGTTCTCGGCCACCATGTCTTGGTAATTAATGTTTTCGATTACCGGTAAAGCTTCTGGGTCATAATGCTCGTCTGGGTGAGACCCGTAGTTTCCGGTCATCCAGAATACGTATTTCATTGTCTTCATCGTCATTCCTCGTACGTATATGTCCTTCACGTATCCTCCTCGTCCAACAGCGGTTTTGATCCTGTAGATTTCAGGGATACAAGAGAAATTTGTTCATCAAATAGACCGGGTTCATCAGACCGGTTTACCATAACTTTGACCGAGTCGAGATTCAATGAATTTTCTATTTGCGTTAAGAACACTAGAAATTGAACCGATGAGTCATAATGGTTAACTCGAGTCAAGCGAACAAAACCATACGCAAACCGGCAAGCACCGGTTTCAGCTTGATTTGATCGAACCTTAAGTAGGGTTTCATCAATGTGGTTCGTTTCAACTTTCAATTCATGACTCGCTAAACCAAACCGGTTCAGAACACAGTAAACCAAACCGCCTAATTCTTACGTACCTGACACCAGATTCGGAGTTGATGGCGACAATGTCTTCAGCTCGGACATCCTCAATGCCGCCGGACATTTCGCTGCCGAGGGCCTATTAATGATGATTTCCTTTTATAATAAACATTTAGAGCATTCCGTACGCTATCCCGTATTCGTCCCACCCACTCTTCACAGCTATGCAGTCGTCGCCAGAGACAATGTAACAGTCTTCAATCCTCGTGTTCGTACAAGAATCTACACGGAAAGGATTACAAATGCGGTGGAAATTAGGGCGGAACAAAATTATCCAAAAATCGGGTATTCGCAATTATCGGCCCGTACCCGATTTTTTAGTATTCAGTTTTATACGGATTTGGAATGGGTAAAATTATTATAATACCCGCAGGTCAGGTTGTACCCGAAATTTTTTGTTAAAGATTGTTATATTCCTAGTCATTTAGATTATTGTCAAAAATACTTAATTAGAGTTATAAAAAACGGTTAAACCCCTTGAAATTTAGATTATTTAAAAAATGCCTAGGGTTATTCGTAACAACTTTAACCTTTAATAATTTTCGGATCCAATACCCAAATTTTTTTCCAAACATTCGTAACACAGATACCCGACCTCGAGTACAAGTCCGGGTATCAAATTTCAATACCCGAATCTTTCGGGTACTAGTCTTGATACCATGAATTTTCTAGGTATCGCTTCCACCATATGGGAGATATACAGAATGATCGGTTAGGTTGAACATGATGCTCGGTATGTCAAGAATGTTGGTGGGACTCTTACCGGGGTTGATACCATCGGTATTAGGAACCGTTACTGGAGCCAGTATCGTCAGGCTTTGGATAAGAATGTTGCTGCATTTCAATTTAGCATCATTAGCCCGAGTTTTAACATAAATCATACGGATAGAAGATAGGTTAAACCGTACCAAAACCCGAGTTTAATGAATTACCTGCTGTAGACAGGATGAATATGCCAAGAAGGTGAATTCAAGAAAGTGAGACTGGAGATTTGGATCCCATCAGAATGCATGATCTCGATCAAGTAAGGTCTCGTGTACTTCAACTCTCCTCTCTTGAACTTCCCCCACCATGGCTCCCCTTGCCCATCTATCGTCCCATTCTCACCTTTCACGAAATTGCTCAACAATTTCAGCTATATTTATACCAAGAAATTACAAATATATATATATATATATATTATCTTATTTTATTTGGGATCGTATATTATAATATATAGCATACGGCCTTACCGGTGATGACAACGTCGGTCAGGTTGGTGCCAAAGATGAGACTGATGTACCTCCCGCCTTCCGTATCCCTCCCACGTCCGTACGACGGCAACGGCTCTATCACCTCGTAATCACTCTCGTCCTGCCAAATTGTTTAACAAATGTTTAATTCTAGTTTAATGTTTTGGGCCAAGTGATTATTTCACACGACTCACGAACATGGGCCTATATGGTCTCTTGTTTTGGGCCAATATGTGGGCCCGTGGGTTCAAATTTTTTTGACGGTTTAGGCCCAACCATATGGGCCCCGCTCTTCTAACCGCAAGGTGGACCCCACTAAAACCTTCCTAGAATTGTGTAACGCCTTCACGCAGCGTTTTCATAGGATCCTTAATTATTCTCAAAGCTCAATTCAATGATCCCTGACTTTGCAGAATTACATTTCACCGGCTAAATAATCCCAGAATTCTATATGAAATAAAATAGTAATTTGAAATATGATATTTGATAATATGTTTATATCATTTAAATTGTGAAAAAATTATCTGAATCTTTTGTGTTTTCAAATTAAATAAAAAAATATTACTTGGGGAAAGCAAAAAAAAAACAAACCTGAGAGGCGAGGATGACAGCGTCGCGGGGGGGGAAAAGGGGGAAGTGGATGGGGTATGTTTATATCATTTAAATTGTGAAAAAATTATCTGAATCTTTTGTGTTTTCAAATTAAATAAAAAAATATTACTTGGGGAAAGCAAAAAAAAAACAAACCTGAGAGGCGAGGATGACAGCGTCGCGGTGGAGGAAAAGGGTGAAGTGGCGGGTGAGGTTGAAGCTTCCGGTGAGCCACCGGCCGGCGGGAACGAACAGCAAACCGCCGCCGTAGTCCGAGAACCGGCTGAGTTGCTCCACCGCGTCTCGGAACGCCGCCGTGTTCGACGTCACTCCGTCGCCCACGCCGCCGAATTCGTCCAGCGACGCCGAGTACGCCCTGCACGACACCGCCGAGTACTCGACCTCCTCCATGGCGGCGGGACGGCCGCGGCCGCGACGGTGGAATTGGAAGTCGCCGGATTTCAGGTGATGTTTGGCGTCGGCTCCCCCGGAGACGAGGAGGAAGAGGAGGAGAGCGATGGCCGAGAGAGGGTTTACCATTGGTGGTTATAGGGAGAAGGAGAGATGTTAGTGGAAAATACCTTTTTTTCTTTTTTTGAAATGAGGTGGTTTCTTATATAAGGGGGCATAAGCCCCTCCCTATTTTTTTATAGTTTCTGAAAGTGTAAAAATAAATAATTGTTTATAAGTTTCTGAAACTGTACGGAATATGTTTGACTATAAGATTCTCGTGTTATTCGCCACCATGTGCGTCATGATATTGTAAATTAGTTTCAAAGAATTGGCAAAAAGTAAGAACAAAAAAAAAACAAAAATGGCATCATATCTCTTTATTATTATTTTTATATAATTTCAATCTGAACAACCACAAAATATATACATATGTATGTATGTATGTATATACCAAAGTAAGCAAGTTAAATCATACGATTTATTTTTACCATCATAATAATAAAGAACCTATTTATCACGCCATTAATGATGATTTCCTTTTATAATAAACATTTAGAGCGTAACCAATATCACAAGTACATGAAGTTATTAGAAGCAATTAATACATTTAGGAAAAAAAAAATGATTAGCTAAATTAGTAATATGGCCAAGGAAAAGCATTATTATTATTTTCCTTTTGGAAAAAGGAGAGAACTATGAAATATGTTATAAAATTCCAAATCGTGCAAGCCACCTTTATCCCGTGCCGTGAAGAAAATCCATGTGCGACCCCATAATCTATATATATTCATGCGTGTGTCTATGTGTTAACCATGTCCCTGTGATTTGTTCGTGTATATATATATATATATATCCACCTTGTACAAGTTCCTACCCATAATCAAAGCTTCATTATATAATTAATGTAAGAGATAAATTTGATTATGACTCATTTTTACAAACTGTAGATCAATCTCTGTACATACATATATATAGATATATATATATAGAGAGAGGATACATATATATAATATACAAAATCTACGAAAATCAAGATATCTATTTTCTTTACGTACAAGCTAGACGAATCCGTCATCTCGTTCACTTCTTTTCCAAACTTCGTAACAGCTAAAATATCTTACTTCTACATCATCGTCATCATCATTATTATCCATAAAATGTAGTTTTGAAATAAACGGATTAATCCACCATTAAAAACTATAAAACTAATTTACGTTTTTTTAAGGCATATGGATTATGGACGAAAAAAATGTAACGAATTTGGAAATGAGAACGGACGTAGAAAATAGTCGTAGTAATAATTATAATAATATATAATGATTCGAACATTCAATGCCCCCTTGCACGCTACGACTGCCTCTCCCGTGCCGTGACCCGTGAGCATATATATATATAGATAGGGGTGTAAAACGGGCTCATCCGGTCATGGGCGGACCCACTTGTATTTGAGTGGGTCCTGTGCCCCCATCAAAAATTTTAATTTAGTTATAAATATATTAAATTTTAACGAAATTAATGCAATGCCCCGTTAAAATTTTGTGTGTGCCCCTTTTATTCTTTTGTTTTTATTTTTTCTCTTAAAATTAGAGCATGTATATTATTTGCCCCCATTCATAATCTCTTCTGGGTCCGTCACTGGGTCCAGTCCAGTCCGGCTCGTTTCGATTTGGAAAAATTTTAGTTCAACCAGTCCAACCCGTTTTTTAGCGAGGCAAAAATATATCAGCTCAATCCATATCGTCTTAACCCGTGAACCAAACGAGCCGGCTCGCGAGCCAAATATATAAATTTTTAAAATAAATTTTAATACTAAAAATTTTTTAAAACTAATTTTAATATTTAAAAAATATTTTAAAATATTTAAAATATAATACAAAAATAAAATTTTAAACAAAAACAAACTAAATATATGTAATAAAAATATAATTTGTATATAAAAATATTTTAAAATATATAAAATTTAAAATTTTTTAAAAAATATTTGTTTTTCTGGCCCGCGAGCCAGCCCGACTCGTGGCGAGCTGGCTCGGTTAGAACAATAATAAATTAAATTAAATCACTAATTTTAAATCTTCGGTTATTCTTAATATTATTAGGGGTGTAAAACGGACTGGCCCGGTCCGACCCAACCCGACTCGTTTCATCTAAAATTTTTTTAGTCCAGCCCAACCCAGCCCGTTTTTTAGTGAGCCAAAAATATATAAGCACAATCCATATCGTCTTAACCCGTGAACCAAACGAGCCGGCTCGCGAGCCAAATATATAAATTTTTAAAATAAATTTTAATACTAAAAATTTTTTAAAACTAATTTTAATATTTAAAAAATATTTTAAAATATTTAAAATATAATACAAAAATAAAATTTTAAACAAAAACAAACTAAATATATGTAATAAAAATATAATTTGTATATAAAAATATTTTAAAATATATAAAATTTAAAATTTTTTAAAAAATATTTGTTTTTCTGGCCCGCGAGCCAGCCCGACTCGTGACGAGCTGGCTCGTTTGGCCCGGTTTTTTCTAAGCTCAAAATATTTGAGTCCGACTCGAAAAAATATAGGTCAGCTCGTGAGCCAATCCTTGATCCGCGACTCGTTTTACACCTATAAATAGATATATATGTACCTCGTTTTTATCTTTCTTATATTTTTTTTTCTTATCTTTAATTTAATTATTACAAAATTCAGTCGGAGGCGAGAAGTTCTTTTAATTCTTATCTATGAAATACGGTGTATAATTCTTTTTCCATCAAGACATGTGTGAAAACATCGCACTGGTATACAATTTCAGTTTTTTTTTTAATTTCATTTTTCTATGCATTCCTTGAAATAATTATGCAATTTTATCAGTATTGTAGTGTCCAAATATTTGGAAACATATTCGTCTTGGTGCACATGCTCATAATTTTTAGAAAAATAAAGGAAAATATCCATATATGACAAAGTTTAAAGAAAACGAATATTTCGGTAAAAATAATATAAATGTAAAAGAAAGTGGGTGGGATAAATACAATAATGGAATTGTGAATAAAATATTTCGCAACTCACGACAGGATATCAACCGACCAAAAGCATTTTGATGGTGGAGTACACGAGAGGTAGAGAGTGCCGTGGCCTTTTTTTTTTTTTTTTTTTTTTTTAACCAGAGAACGCGATATATTTTTTTTCATGGCTACTAGCCTATAATAATATTACAAAAAATTAGATGTTTAATTTATTTAAAATTGAAAATTATGTGTATATGTACAATATTCAAAATAAAACTTGTAACAATCTCATTTAACCTCAAATAAATTTATTAATAAAAATTATGTGAACAACACCAACAGAATCTAAACATTTAAATAATCATATTTTTTGAAAATTACGTGTATTTGTAAACATTTTTATTTGTTTTTTTTTTATATATTTTATTTTCTCTATCATAATTATGAATCTTAAATAAAGAAAAGTTCTTCTTTAACCACAATTAATACGACACTTATACTCGATGAAACAATTTATACATGATTTCCGAACAAAAAAATTAAGTATATATTGAATGTTTTGCGTAAAATTATCTCAAAAGAAAAATATTAAAGACAAATTTGGATTTTTAATCTTGACAAATTAAGAATAAAATAGGCTTCTTTTAACACGATGGATTTAAGAAAAAAATCAACTAACTAATCACTCAAACTCAAAACTTACAAATTAGATTTATTCGGGATATTTTATAGAAAGTGATTTTGTTTATTAGTTGTAATAAATCTACTATACATGTTTCTTTAACTGAAATAAAGTATAAAATTAAAATTACTAATTTGGGAGGGCCCAAAAGCATAAAAAAAGGTATATTGTTTCGAAGCAAGTGGATCTCAAGCCTTGTTGGGCCTTCACCGAATGTGCTAAATCGAATCGAATGCAATAAAATGGAAAATTGGCCATTCTCTGAATTCATGCATTGTATGGTAAGCGTTGATATAGAAGAATATAATATAATGTATAAAACATTAGAGAGGTGTATATATTTCATGTTCCAAAAGCCCAACCCTAATTTCAGAAGTCGAAAAATAAGCTTAACGTGTTGCTTGTGTGTTGAAAATATGATACATTCGATCTATATATTTTGTAAGAATTTCGTAAGAGATGTTGGTGAAGTCGATCGTTAAGACAATGGAGATTCGTTCGGCTGAGTTGCCAAATCGAGTACGAGGAAATATGGGTACAGTTTATAAAATTTCGATACGATACATGCTGTTCTTGGAATTAACGAGGTACGTACTGCTTCCTTTGGAATTTCTTTTTTTTTTTAATGTCAAAATTTCCATTTCTTTACAAAAAAAAATGATATTATTAAAAAAAAATAACTGTATTTTTGTAACATATGTTTTCTTGTGTGTGGAAATGAAAATTCGGTTATAACATTGATATTCTTGTAAAGTTTATTACGGTATATAAAATTAATCATTCACAAAAAACATCGATTTTTTTTTAATAATCCGGATTTCGATTCAACTATATCTTTCAAAGGACCATAGAAGTCTAACTGAATATCTCTCGCTAAATGTAGACTCGAACCCGAATTGAAAAAGATTTGTACTCTTTTTTTTACCGGTTGAATCACAAAATTTTGAATAATATTTATGCCTTTTCTCAAATCTGTAATTCTTGGGTAAATTCAATGATATTTGTGTGCGTATTTGCAATTTACTTCGACCGACTAGGATTTTATATTGAGACTCTATGTTTGTTCAAGTTAACGAGGACAATGTGTCATAGTCTATATAAGAGAATATTTTTCTATTATTGATGATTTGCAAAATATACATTAATATATAGCAAAATACAATAGAATATTCTAAATATAATATCTAAGATAAATCATAATTATATTAATGAGATTATTTCCTATAGTCTAAATGTCTACAAAATCGTTAATTTAAGGTATAAAACCCTAATGAAATTTAGATTATTTTTGGCTTTGCTTACAAATTATTGAGTGGTTACGAGATTTGTAAAATATGGTTGACCCTAAAATTGTTAGTATTATATAATATGGTCAGGGGAACATGGCATGAGACATAATATCGTACGACATCGTTTCACGTCTCACTGATTTTCATTTTTTTTCCACCGTTGAATTTATTATTCATTGAGGAAATTAGAGTTCCTAATATCACATCGTTTATTTCTTGATGCACAAAATGTATTCCATAATTCATAATTTCAATTATTTTTTTCATTTTAACTTACATTACACATATATTATAAAATAGTTAATATCTACATTAATATTTCATTTCACTCTCTATTAGATCATATATTTCTAATGGTATGAACATTTTGACAGGTCACACTTACGAAGATACAAAAACATATGTCTGAAAGATCCATCTAAAGATTCAGCAACGGAAAAGAATGAACCGAAAAAACATACGTGTTAACGTTTAATAATATATATACTACAATAATTTTCAAATTATAAAAATAATCAATTCCTCTTTGCTGCTTTAATAAAGATTAGATATAAGTGGTGCAAAATAAATAAAATAAAGATATTGACTGGTTCCACCTTAATCGACAAGTGATTATGAAATGCAGCCCAAATGCATGCCCTACTAGTTCCCCTCCAACGTATCCGATTTGATCCGATAAATCTTATAAATATTTTATTATTTTGTTTCTAGCTAGGGTTTGTCTAATCACTGTCAATGGCTCATATTTATGTGGACGACCACCTTTTTTAATTGCTTTTTCTAAGATTGATTATGTATATATACCACATAAATTATGGTCCGTAAGCTTTCTATTTATATATATATATATATATATATATATATATATATATAAAGTAATTACGTCGCAGTCACAGACTTTGATTTAACACCACTTTTTTTTTTTTTTAAATTTAAGGTGCCTTTATTTCTCTTCTTAAATCAATTGAGTAATATAATAATTAGGATTAGGCCCAAGCCACCTGACCATGTCGATTATAGATCCATGACAGTTTTTGTTATTGATAAACAGTAATTAACTCCGATTTTAAAATAGAATTAGCTTCCAATTTCAAAAGAGCTATTTCCGTGAAAAGATTCATATGTTATATGATTTTTATGCAACTTTTTAATTTGACTTTGTTTCCTTTTCATTACATTATATTAAAATATCTTATTTTCGTCATCACTAAATTTCCTTTTATTTTTCAATTCTAACAAATTTATTAGTTCAGATAGTATAAATGTTAGATAAAAATAATGTTTCAACTCGTTGAATTAATAGAAATTTTGTTAATAACTAACACACACACACACACACATATATATATATATATATATATATATATATATATTACCTTGAAGTTTACAATATTTTAGCAGAAACTTGATGTTTCAACTAAACTGAAGTCTTAATTAGTGATGGTACGCGATCCTATTCCCACATAGGAAAAGTCTTTATCGATTAGTACATTGCCATATTTGATGATGATTTTCTAACCAATTTTATAATTGACAACCACTGTATGTTAATACATCGAATTTCATGCCATAAAAGCGATTTTCAAACCATTTTTCTTGCTAGGACGTATTCGATCATGGAAGCAAATATTTCAACGGGTACATCGACTATTTACTAATTTATTGTATTCAAAGGAATCAATATTGAGAACTTTGTTTTATAAATAATTCGAAAATTTGTTGAATATTCGACCCGACTCCAAAATTCGGATAGTGTATTGGATATGTTGTCAAGCCAAAGACCACACACATATATATATATATATATATATATATATATATGTATGTTAGTTTGGCATTTTTAAGAAATAATTTTTTTTGCTGTTAAATATTTCTTTTAATATATATATACACACACATATATATTGTCCGGTTGGTATATAAACTGTTGTCGAAAAACCCTAGCTCTGACGATTAAGATTATTCGTCATTTATGTAATAATAACAGGTGTGTGCAGTGAAATACAAACAAAAAAAACCACAAACATGTGATTACGGAAAATATGTCCAAATGTTCCTATTCTATTTATTCATTTTTTTTATTTTCATCTTCATTTTAGTCACACGCAACACGTATTATATATCAGTAAAATGCATAATTGCGAATAGGAGACCAATTTTTTTTTTTCTTTTTGATAACGGTGGGAATCCATCGCACAGTCCTTCGGATCGGATCATACACAAAAAATCTTTCAAATTACAAGGTAAACGGCTGTGGATTTGCCAAATAGCGATTATAGATCAAGTAGCTATATATTAATCATAAACATATGTTTATCGATTATTGTGTATGGAGATAAGTTTGGGTTTCGATTTTAATAAAAAATATAGTTTTTCTTAGCTACATGAAAAATAGCTATTGTTTGGAAAAAATACAAGTTTTTTTTTCTACATTTAATGTCCTTAATTTTCTATATATCTTTAAACATAATTATAGCCCTAGCTAGGATCTATAGATTAATGCTAAATAAACTAAACTTTGCGACGAAAAAAATCCAGCTTTACCAAATATTTCCACCATTTATTTTTCTTTTCACGAAATTTGTCAAATAGTAATAGAAAGATTGGTCGGGTCATCTACAAAAAACATCAATCTATGATCATTGTGATATGTTTTTTTTTTGTGAATATCGTATTGTGAAAATGCTTATGTTAAGCTTTAATTTGATTTTAAATAATGTTACCAAAAATAAAAATAAAATAGTTCACAACACTTCAAGATAAAGCAAAGTTCGACACCATACCCTTCAAACCCTATTCATAACTCCATTTCCTTCTCTATTTAGGGTTCCTCTCTCTCTCTCTCTCTCTCTCTCTCTCTCTCTCTCTCTCTCTCTCTCTCTCTCTCGATCTTTAGTTGAATATACTACGAATCGTCTGCACAGCAAGTTTCTAGGGTTTCTTAATAATTTCATCAATCGAAGCTAAATAATATCATCGATCAAAGGATGAGCCGAGGCGGCAGCTATGGCGGCGGACAAAGCTCCCTAGGTTATCTTTTCGGGTCGGAAAATGATCAGCCGCCGCAAACTCCTCATCCAGCCGCTGCAAAACCAACGCCACCTTACGGAGTAGACGACGGCGACGACAAGCCCAAGATTCAAATCGCCATCTCTAACAATAACTATCATAGAGCCCATGGCCAAAACTCCGGCAACTTCGTCACCGTAAGTTTATTTTTTCTTCTTCTAGGTTGTTTTTTGGGTTCCCCTCATAGAAATGAGTAAGGAATTTTTTTTTGGGCTTTTGATAAAATTTCAGGATCGTCCGACTACGAAGGTGAAATCGGTTCCCGGTGGAGGTTCATCTCTTGGATACTTGTTCGGCGATAAGTAAGGATTATGATCTGATGAAATTAGGGTTTGTCATTGTCTACAGTACTTGGGCATAATAATGGGAGGTTAATCATCTAATCTTATACATGTGCGTGTATATAGAGAGAGGGATACATATCTCTATGTACAACACATAAATGTGCAAACTCCCAAACGCGTGTATGATATGGCTTTGTTGTTAAATTTCTTCGAGGATCTTTAAGACTGGAAATTGTATAACATAAGTGATTGAGTTTTATATCATATATATATAGTCATATGGGTAATCTGTATATGTATATATGTATGGATTGTTGTGACAATGTATTGATATATCGGTTTCTTTGTGCGAGAATTTATGTATGCCTTGCAGGACAAATTAAGTTGTGTGTGTGTCGGGGCAAGACCTATTTAATTCGTATGTAATGCGTTTCTAATAAACATATCGTATGAAAATCTCGTTTCTACCTATGATTGGGAATTGTATTGTATTGCATTAGTTTATATATATCTAATCTTGAATCTCATCTCGAAGCATTAATCATGAATTGCTTATGAATGCATGGACATCGATCGATTCTATATGCTTTTCAAAGAATAGGAAATTACTATAAAATATGAAGTTCTCTTGTTTTATGGATTCGTACGTATATATTCAATTTTCCTCACTTTCAATTTCAACACCTTAAGATGAACTAATTTTTTTTAGAAATGTTATTTTTTAATATTGGAAAGTATACCATGGAGTTCAAAATGTACATATACAAATAAATTGCCATTGGCTATAAATGGGTTTATTTGTGAGATACATTGATATTGGGGCTGAAAAGAAATAATGGAATAGTTCGGGCCGCGTTATGAAATATTTTCCTAGGTAAATAAATAACCGAAGTAGACAAAATCTCTGAAGGAAAAAAAAAAAAAAAAGGCTTCTCGAACCGTCTCTGACCTTCGGAACTCTCCAGCAAAAACGAGTCGTCACTAAAGAAAGCAAGAACACATCCAGGCAAAAAGCCATATAAGTCGTGGTGCTCGATTGTGAAAACGGTATGCGCTTTTATACCCACGATCTCCGTGGCGATCAATTGCAGGTTCTGATACTGATGTTTAGTCTTTGTATGCGATTTCACTGACCCAAGTCGATTTGTCTTTGGAAATTTGATGGGTTTATGAATCTGGATCAAGGGTATTTTGAAATTTATCTTCTTGGGTAGATATTTTCACGAAAGATGATTCCTTTTATGTTTTGCTCTGCGGGTGTTATGTCACCGTTGATGTTCTGATCGTGTTCAACTGGTGGGGGAGAAAGGAATGCATATCAACATAGAAGAAATGTTTAATATATATATATATATATATATATTTTAAAATCCGTTGTGTTCTCCGATAATTGGGTTATTAGATCATATAAGAAAGGATTGCTTCTCTTTTGACTTGCGTTTCAGAGATCATATGTTGTTAGATCTCGTTGAAGTTTGGACATTAGGTTCTGCTTTTCTCATTTTCTTAGTGGGTTTTAGCTTGTCTGATGATGTTCTTGGATGGTTCTCGATTCTTCCTGAAATCCTGCTGCAAAAGCAGCAATTCTCAAGATTTTGAATCGGAACAAGAAACCGAAGGAATTGAAGATTTGAGATTTTCTTCACCTAGTGATCTTTCCAAGTATATAATCTGTTTGGTAGCTCATACATAATGGTTTCTCACAGATTACAGGGACTGTCTGTAGTTATAAATCGTTGGAAAAATCAACTCCCGTTTTGTTTCTTCTTTCCGGTTTGCTTACTCTTGTTCTTTGCTTCCTTGATGAATGTTCTTTCCCAATTTCAGAAACCGACATGCGGCGGTGTCCTGTTCTATACCCTGCAACATACAAAGTGAAGCCGATCTTCTCAGTTCCAAGATCCAATGGTAACTTCCATATCTTAACACTTGCGTCCGGTCTGGTTCAGTTTCATTTGGCTCAGAATAAGAAAACGAAATGGGTGGATTCTTGTTCTTGATGATGCATCAGGAGGAGGCAAAGTTGTGGGAACTGTAATGCCGAAGAAACATGGGAATGAGGGCATCAAGGAAGAAGGATCAATGAAGAAAACAGAGGAAATATCTGATCCGGCCGTCGCTTTCAGCAGACCGCCGCCACTCCCACCTTTCATCGGACCGTTGCTTGCTCTGTCCATTCTTGAAACATGTTCTAGCCGCGATGAAGACGACGACTAGTTAGAGGAGCTATGTCCTGGGATTCTTGGGTTTAGGTTTATGTCTCTTAACCAGAATGTATAAAACTTTGCCTTTCAGATGTCCATGTGGAAAGGAAACTGTCGTGCTCTCTGTGACTCGAACACAATGGTGTAAGCTTTTAACGTGTTCTGGGATTGTCTGAAATCTTGGCTGGAACTTCAAAAATCTGTAATTTTAAGCTTTTGTTATCAAACGATTTTGGAGGGGGGAAAACAATAAAATAAGGTCTAGCGCACAAGCGGTCCAATAGGATCTAAGAACTAAGCATGCCAAATGAGACCATAGTACTTTTGTCCGATGCTAACATGCAAATTGGCACGTGCCCTAACACCGCTTTGAAGTGTCACCACAACATCTATCGCGACCGCTATATATACGCACACCACGTTTATGGCAAAAAGGGTGGATCAGGTTGCGCATCTACAGATTCAGAGGTTGCTTGTAGAGCAAGAAACTGAGGGTTTTTTTTTTTTGGGTTTTATCCTCTGTTCATGTGTTCATATATCTTTGCATACACGATGAACGGGAAGATCAAGGAAGGTTCTATCGTCGTGGTTAAGAGGAGGAGAGATAAAGATGCTTCCGAGAAACGCAGAACGATTCCGCGACGCGGACAGATCAAAACGCGGATCGCTGCAACTGCTTTTCACTCCATTGTTTCGGTTTTATCTAAAGCTAGATGATGACGATGATGGCCAGTGGTCATCTCGTGTGGGAAAAAAAAAAAGCCAAGGTTGATACGAAGACCCGTTTTAGAAGCCAGAGATCGTTGTTGTAATTTTTTTCGTGTTCTTCACTTCATTTGTGAATCTGGTGGTGATGAATCATCATCACCACGACCACAACCACCGCGCAAAAGATGTTCTGCAGAAATATGTTTTTCTTCTTGATTTTGCTCTGATCCGTTTTGAAAACTATGGCTTTGGTCTCATTTAATCCATCATTCAACATTTTTCCACTGTGTGAATAAAAAAAACAAAATCAAAAGTGGAGATGCGGGGTATCGATCCCCGTACCTCTCGCATGCTAAGCGAGCGCTCTACCATCTGAGCTACATCCCCTTGTTGAATTATAATTTTGTTTCGTAATAACATTAAAGTTGCATTTTGAACCTACATGAAATTTTCACGAAGTAAAAAAAAAGGAAGAAGGTGTTTTCGTGCTTTCACCACAGACATAATAATTAGTTTACCAAATTTAACAAAACGTTTCGTTAAAAAAAAAAGAAAAAGAAACGAGTTTATAGATACAAATTGCACCCTTTTACGACATGGCACGAAATTTTTACCAAAAGCCCATGATTTTTTCGTCATTCATGCTTGTGCTTAAATATGGGCTTATTGTTCCAATGTTACATGCAATTGCAAGAAAGCCCATTAATCAATCGGCCCAAGTATGGAGAAACAATGCCACCGGCGTCTTCCGTTGGAGCATTTTCGGTCATCGTCTCTCTTTCTCTCATCTCACGGGGAAGAAGAAGCATCGAGGTCAAAGAAGGGAGGGATGAGCGGTCACGATTCCAAATACTTTTCTACCACGAAGAAGGGAGAGATCCCTGAGCTCAAAGAGGAGCTCAATTCCCAGTACAAGGTTCTTCTTACATCTCTCTCTCTCTCTCTCTGATCTCCCGGTTGGTGATTCTGGTTCTGGGGTTTCGCCGATCGATTTTATTTTTCTCCCTATTCTTCTGGATCTGTGTAGTTTCGGATTCGAATTCATGGGCTGATCTTGTTGTTTCTTAGTGAAATTAGCTTCGGTGTTGTGGGGGAAAGATCGGAAACTCGGGTGTGTTATGGAGATATGCCCAGTTATTTATTGGGAAATATCCAGGAATAGAGAGTAGCGGATTTTAAGAAAAGAATTTGCGGGGATAAATGCAATCTCGTAGAAACTGTGAGGAAACGTATTGGTTGATCACATGCGTTGGGTTTGGAATCAGGCAATCTGTTAGAGGATCAGAGGTTGATTAGTGAATAGTTGTCTTCTTCTTACTCTGCTAACACGCGTTGGGATCTTCGATTTTTTTTTTTGGTCGGACCTGCCGAGAAACCTACAAAGAGTTTGGCTTTGAATCTGTAACAGATCTGCCTTCCCGGTAGATTTCAGTTCAAGTAGCCAGAGATTAGGAATAAGCAAATGCTTGTGACATTTCTCTCTCTCCAGTCCTGTTTAGTGTGATCCGTGACATTATCAAAAATACCTTTACTTTGCTATTCCTACGTAACACATACCCTTCTTTACTATTCTTACTTCAACACATACCCGACCATATGACCCATATGACCCGAAATATATTATGGTCACATGTTGATCTCATTGCTCATAACGTTAAATTTATGATGTTTTAATCAAATAATTAGTAAGATATACAATGTATGAATATAATGAATTAGTGAGATCATCATAAATTTAACGTTATAATCAATAAAATCAAAATGTGATCATACTATATTTTGGATCACATGGTCACATCAAGAGAAGGGTATGTGTTGAAGTAAGAATAGCAAAATAAGAGTATTTTTTATATAATGTCAACCCATTTCAACTCTTGGCGTTCACCTGGAATGAGTTTTTCTGCGTATTTCCCTTGACCAAATTTACAGTTCAGATAGATGCCTATGTTACTGATTCAATTAGGGGAATGCGTTTTTCCTGTATATCCTCAATTTGCTAACCTTTCTTTCCCCCTATTTATGTTTATGCTTCGTAGGATAAGAGAAAAGATGCCGTTAAGAAGGTGATAGCTGCAATGACCGTGGGAAAGGATGTTTCTTCACTTTTCACTGATGTAGTCAATTGCATGCAAACTGAAAATTTGGAGCTGAAGAAGCTTGTTTACTTGTATCTCATAAATTATGCCAAAAGCCAGCCAGATCTCGCTATTCTTGCAGTAAATACTTTTGTAAAGGTAACTCCTAAGCTACCTGCCTGTAGACATTTCAATCAGTAGCCTGGCCAAGTTAAAACAATTTTATGTATCAATTTCCTCCATTTGTTGTGTTTTTTGGGCAAAAAAAAGGTAGAGGAATTAATCATCTTAAATTGCAAAAATATGTAGCTATGGATTTACTGTACAAGTGTTCATGTTTCTGCAGGATTCACAAGACCCAAATCCATTGATCCGTGCATTGGCTGTGCGGACAATGGGCTGCATCCGTGTTGATAAAATCACAGAATATCTGTGTGATCCTCTTCAGAAGTGCCTCAAGGTTAAGTTTTGAATGCTACCTTCTCATTGAAACATTGTTTTGAGCATCTCTAATGTTCGCATGTTCTTTCGTCAGGATGATGACCCATATGTCCGAAAGACAGCAGCTATATGTGTCGCTAAGCTTTATGACATAAATGCTGAATTAGTTGAGGATCGAGGTTTCCTCGACGCCTTGAAGGATTTGATATCAGACAATAATCCAATGGTTGTTGCAAATGCTGTAGCCGCTCTTGCTGAAATTCAAGAGAATAGTACGAGGCCCATCTTTGAGGTGACTAGTGCTACCCTTACGAAGCTGCTTACTGCTCTAAATGAATGCACAGAGTAAGTACTTCCCTCTGATTTACATATTTGGACCTGGTATAATCTGAATAGCTCTGAAATGGCTTGCATGTTGTGATATGGATATGGGTTTTGCGTCTACATGGACTTTTTACTTTATTTCTATTTTCAAATTGTAGCAGTTATTCACGATTTTTATGTTATTCAGGAGATTTATGTGTATATACAGATTCATTTTTGTTGACTTGATCGGTGAAGGTGCTCCATTAAATGGTTATATCTATTTTCTTGCTGGAAGACGGCAGCTTCTGTTGGTTCCAACTTAATACTGATTATTATCATTGCAGGTGGGGTCAAGTTTTTATACTAGATGCGTTGTCAAGGTATAAGGCAGCAGACCCTCGTGAAGCTGAAAATATTGTTGAGAGAGTCACCCCAAGGTTGCAGCATGCGAACTGCGCCGTTGTACTTTCAGCGGTTAAGGTGAGATGCGTCCAGTTTATTTCTTTTTTCCATGCAGTCATTTGGTACTTGATCAAACTTGTGCATAAAACATCAGTAAATGGAGCTTATTATTTTCTAATCCATTTTCCCATTTCCTTTTCTTTCTTTAATGGTCCATCTTGCAGATGATCCTTCAGCAAATGGAACTTATTACTAGTACAGATGTTATTCGAAATCTTTGCAAGAAGATGGCCCCTCCACTAGTTACGTTGCTTTTTGCTGAACCTGAGATACAATATGTTGCTCTTCGAAACATTAACCTTATAGTCCAAAAGCGACCCACCATCCTTGCCCATGAAATTAAGGTAACGTAATCCTTGCGCGAGAATCACATACTAGGCAATTAAGTGATTATGTTACAAGTAAGATAGGGTATGCTTATGCATGATTCTGTTTTTGATAGGTATTCTTCTGCAAGTATAATGATCCGATTTATGTCAAGATGGAGAAGCTGGAAACTATGATAAAGCTTGCTTCTGATAGAAACATAGACCAGGTATGTTGATTGTTGAGCAAACTATGCCATCTTCCATTCGTCTCAATCATCTTAGGTATGTACAGGTCTTATGGCGATGATTCTGGTAAATGCTATTGTAGGTTCTTCTGGAGTTCAAAGAGTATGCCACAGAAGTAGATGTTGATTTTGTTAGAAAGGCTGTCCGTGCCATAGGCCGCTGTGCCATTAAGCTGGAAAGAGCAGCTGAGCGTTGCATTAGTGTTTTACTTGAGTTGATCAAGATCAAAGTGAACTATGTTGTCCAGGAGGCTATTATAGTCATCAAAGATATCTTTAGAAGATATCCTAACACGTAAGTTACCATATTTCCATTGTTGTCGTAATTGCGGTTTCTTTAGTCTTGGCTATATTAACAGAAGCAACTTACAGGTATGAGTCCATAATTGCAACACTCTGTGAGAGTTTAGACACTTTGGATGAGCCAGAAGCTAAGGTAATGAACTTTCTAATTTGGTTTAATATAGCTGTTTTCCCACCAAATTATCAAATCTTGGGATGGTGGTCTCATTCTCTTTTAACATTTGTTTACATCTTGATAGGCATCCATGATATGGATCATCGGTGAATACGCTGAGAGAATCGATAATGCGGATGAACTTCTCGAGAGCTTCCTGGAGAGTTTCCCTGAAGAACCTCCTCAAGTCCAGCTGCAGCTGCTAACAGCTACTGTGAAACTATTTTTGAAGAAACCAACTGAAGGCCCTCAGCAAATGATTCAGGTTCGAAATATATCCACGTTGAAGCAATATTACAAGAAAGGTGTGTTTATTACAGTGTTTTATGTTTTCAGGTTGTCTTGAACAATGCTACTGTAGAAACAGACAATCCCGATCTCAGAGATCGTGCATACATATACTGGCGTCTTCTCTCTACCGACCCTGAGGTGCTTACCCTTGATTCACTAGCTTTTAGTGATCACCTAGCTTGAAATTCTGGATAACAAATCATACGTCCAATTTCTTAAGATATCATTGCGTTTTCTTTTGACTAGGCGGCCAAGGATGTTGTTTTGGCTGAAAAGCCTGTGATTACCGACGATTCAAACCAGCTTGACCCATCGCTCTTAGACGAGCTTCTCGCAAATATCGCTACTTTGTCCTCCGTGTATCACAAGCCGCCGGAGGCTTTCGTGACCCGTTTGAAGACCACGGTTCAGAAAACCGAAGATGAGGACTATGTTGAAGGGAGTGAAGCTGGATACTCCGAGACATCTGCTCCTCCAGCCAACGGTGCAGCTCCTCCTCCTGCCACTGCGAGTCAACCTGCCCCTGCTCCTGTGCCTGATCTGTTAGGTGACCTAATGGGATTAGACAATGCGGCCATTGTCCCCTCCGATCAACCCACAACTCCGTCTGGGTGAGTATGGATTCAATAAGGAAATTGTCTCTTCGTTTGTATATACATATTCTGTAGGGCCATATTTCAGGCCGTGCTTATTTGATCTTATGAACATGATTGCAGTCCCCCATTGCCTGTTCTCCTGCCAGCAACCACCGGTCAAGGTCTTCAGATCAGCGCCCAACTAGCCCGAAGGGACGGACAAGTATTCTACAGCATGCTTTTTGAGAACAACTCACAGATGCCGCTCGATGGCTTCATGATTCAATTCAACAAAAACACGTTTGGCCTTGCAGCTGCCGGGCCTCTTCAGGTAACTCTAATAAAATATTCTCAATATATAAACTCATTGTTGTCAAGGAACAAATGTTTCCGGATTTTTCGGAACTAATGTCTGTTGTTGATGTTGTTGTCTTTTAGATTCCATCTCTGCAACCTGGAACATCAGCCAGGACAATGTTGCCAATGGTGTTGTTGCAGAACATGTCGGCCGGTCCTCCCAGCTCGCTTTTGCAAGTCGCGGTGAAAAACAATCAGCAGCCGGTGTGGTACTTCAACGATAAGGTCTTACTCCATTCGCTCTTCACTGAAGATGGCAGGATGGAACGTGGAAACTTCCTCGAGGTAAAAATAAAAACAAAAATCTTCCACCCGCATAATTCACATCCCGGGACCTTCATTCCAGATCGAACCATTCGGTTTCAAGATTTGCTGAAAACCCGGATATCTTCTCTCGTTTGGGCAGACATGGAGATCGTTGCCAGACTCGAACGAGGTACAGAAGGACTTCCAAGGGATAACGATACAGAGCGTGGAGTCGACGCTGGATTTGCTGGCGGCGTCGAACATGTATTTCATAGCGAAGAGGAAGAACGGGAAGCAGGACGTGCTGTATCTATCGGCGAAGCTACCGAGAGGAGTACCGTTACTGATAGAACTGACGGCCGTGGTGGGGAATCAAGGCCTCAAATGCGCCGTCAAGACTCCCTCGCCGGAGATGGCCCCTCTCTTCTTTGAAGCCCTCGAGCATCTCCTCACGGCCTGATCTCATTCTTCAACCAAGGTCATTCCTCTCCCTCTCTCTTTTTGTTTCCTTCGTGAACCCTTTTAAGTACGTTTCTTTTTTTGTTCTTGTGCTTTTTGGGAATGGAAGAGATGAATTTTTGTGGAATGTCCAAAGATGTGAAATCATTTTTTTTGTGTGGTCTGCGTTGCATTGCATCTAATACATACGTTAGAGGCTTTGAGAATATTCCTAAGTCGAGTTTTCAATTACCGGTTGCTGTTAGGGGTCGCCATTTCGGTTATTAACCGAAATAACAGAGTCGAACCAAACCAAATAAGACATAACCGTATCTGAACCGAACCCGACATCAAAACAAACGGTTATGATTTTTGTAAACCCGAAAAAACTGAAATTGAACCGAATAAAAAAATAACCGAAAAAATCGACGATTTTTTTTTAAAAAATGAGTTTTTTTATCGAAATCGAACCGAATCGAAACAGAATTTATATAAAAACTGAATGGTTATAGTTTTTTTATAACTGAAATAATCGAACCCGAATATAATCGAACCGAATCCAAACCGAAATCTGAAATGGCCACCTGTTTTCTTTTTCTTTTGTTTTTCATTTTATCAAAGCGTCCCTTTTCCGTGTAGATTTCCAATTCCTATCATTAGAAGTTATAAATTATATGGCGTTTTATTTAGTTATTGGATTATTCAGGTTTTTTTTAATGTTTTTCTTAAATTACCTTATCAAAATTTCCTTATGATAACTCCTTGTTTCCTCTTCCTTTTAGGACAGGAAAACATCCTAAAAGGAAAACATATCGTCCCTGTAAATAAAATAACCGGACATGTAACACACAAAAAAAAAAACAAAAGGGATTCGAGATTTATATATAAATAAATACAGATGTTATGATTTTATTTCAGCGATTCTCACCTCTACAACAAAAAAAACCGCTAGACCAAAGATTCGTATGTCCATTAATGTTACTACTCGAAAAGCTATAATATCTATAGATTTTAATGCAAATCCAGTGTGTGTACTCTGTTCGAAGAAAACAAAGTTAGGTGTCTATATTACGAAAACCAAAAACATTGAAGGACCAGAATGCAATAGACGCATTATAAGTATTTATATTTAATTAAGCAAATAGTAATCAAGTGATTATCTTTGGGTTTAGAGTGTTGGAGTTGTTCAACCGGAAGAAGTCGTCTCCCTCCGTAGCCGCGCGACATTTTTTTTTATAATTTCCCACAGAGATTTGATTCAACTGTAAGTTCAAGAATTTTCCCGGAATTCCACCGGAAAAAGAGCAGAATTTTCTCTGGAAAATAGAAGGTCAGATTCTTTTTCCTTTGTAGGTGAATTGTCCCTCTTCCTTCTTCTCTGTAAAAAAAAATCTTCTTTTTGCTAATATTGAACTGTTTAATCTTCGTGGGTCTTGTTGTTTCCGAATTGCGAACTCTGCCCCATCTTCGTTTTGATTATTTAACTTTTTTTGGTGGGTTTCGAGAATTGGGTTTACGCTCCCACTCACACCCTTTTGCTTCTAATTTCTTCTGTTTTTGCTTTAGCTTGCTGTTCTTAGTTTCAAATCCTGTTAGGGTTTCGATTCCTTCATCCTGTTATTTTGATCACAGGATCATACCAGTTTAGATTTGATCTTGTTTTCGTTTATACAACTAGATCAAATCAAGTTAGGATCAGTAGCTTTATGCATTTGATTTAACCACGAACTCCTATAGATCATTATCTGCAGAAATCCATCAGATAAACTCGAGGTGTAGAAGCTTGTTTCTTCCCTGGTTGTTCTTTGTCAATGCAACCCATTACCTGTTTGAATGTATTTATGCAGATACATGCTTTCATATTGTGATGATCTTTGCTTTTATCTCGTCGTTGCAGTGAAAAGTTATGTTCTTTGAAGTGTTTACCACATTCAAGTTCGAACTTTTCCCAATTACAAAGTATGGTTTCAGAGTTTTCTCTGTTAGAGGTTCAGTTATGTATGGTTAAGTCGCTTACGTTGTCGGGACGGGGATTTTCAGGTCAGTGTTGTGCTGAAGAGTTGGAACTGTCTGAAACTATCTCCTGCATGGGTACGTGACGAGAGGATGGGCGGTTGCTGCTGTTGTTTCCCGAGAAAAACTGACGTAAATATTACAACGAGCTCATTCGTTACGATTTTCATTTTTCTTTGTCGCCATTGAAAGCTACCTCGGTCTATTTTGCAATATCTATAGTATAGCCTTGATGGGGAAACTCGTTGAGATCAGTTAGAAAGATTCTAGATGATGTTTCTTGATGAAAGATCACCGAGGAAATCTTGAACCGAGAGACTCTTGGCAAATGAAAATCCAGCATGAAAAGTGGTTCTAACCTTGTTCATATAGTTTTTGTGTTTTCGTCTGATTTTTTTGAAATGTATATGTTTCCAGAACCCGAGAACTATAGAGGAGCATGTTCCATTATCGCATGCCCGGCCTTCCTCTGTGGTATCCACAGAGTTGGAAGAGACAAATATAGAGATGTTAGCCCCTGATATCTACAGGTCACCTCCTCCGCCTATGCCTTTTGACTTCTCGCCGAGAAACCTTCGATCTCCGCCAAGATTGCCGAGAAATCAGAGTAACAATGGAAGGACGGATTCTGACTCAGCTCGAGAAAAAATGAACAACACCAGTGTAGCAGTAGTTTCACATGGAATGGCAGAAAAGGAGATACTTTCAGGCAATCAGACAGATCTTGATCCAAAGAAACATGAGATGGAGCTCTCCGAGATTTTCCAGGAATCAGTTGAAGAGGATGGTTGCCCGATTTGTCTGGAAGGTAATCGAATCCTGACATCCTAAGTTTGTTATCCAGCACTACATGGTGCAACAATGGTGAAATACCCGAGAATTTATTTTTTCAGAATATGAGACCGAGAACCCGAAAATGCTCACGGGATGCGGCCACCACTTTCACCTCGCTTGCATACTCGAATGGATGGAAAGAAGTGATGCATGTCCTGTCTGTGACAAGGTTTGTGTCCTGAAACATGCTGTTTCCAAGTCATTTGCACAGATTTAGCTTGAAAGAAAACCCTGGTTTCTGCAGGAATTGGTACTGGTTGAATCATAAAGAAGATGAGAAATGGGATGAGGATTGAAGTTGCATTCACAAGCTTTGCTCTGTTACTGTTTGTTTATATCAGAAACAAAACAAAGAAGAGGATGAAGAAGAAATAGGATTTTATTCTTTTGCTAATACACACATTCTTGTGTTTATTCAGTGATTCTTTGGGAAATTGTGTTGAGAGATTGCTTTGCTGTAGAAACTGTGAGTGGAGGAGACACAGATTCTTTTGAGGAAACAACATAAGCTTAGATTCTTTTTGGGCACAATGACTAAGAACCGGTTAAGGTCAGATCGGATATCCGAATTTTTCGGTGTATTTCATCTCGATCTTGTTTTCTCGGGTTTTTCGATCGAAGTATCCAATTTCAATTTCACGAGGGTTGGATACCCGACCCGAGTTTCGATCTTTACCCTAAACCCTAATTCTTCGGTCTGAACCCGAATCCGAAAATCATTTTTTTTGTCGACAACGGATCCATACTCCATCTCATTTTGATCGGGTATCCGAAGCTCGGATATATACTATATCATTGCCAAACCGATCGAATTAGCTACGACTTGTTTTTTTTTTTTTGATACATTGGGAACCCCGACCCCAGCGTAGCCTTTCGGGTTCGCTAACCCCCGGTCACAGCGGTGGCCTATGACACAACCTGTGGCGCAGCCGTTGGCTCGCTAACTAAGGGGTCACAGCGGTGGCCCTTCGGGCCCGCAGAGCCGAGTAAACCCAAGTCCACACACACGAGCCTGCAACACACATGTAGGTGATGAATCAGCCGTAACTGACAGACGACAGGTGAGAGTTTAAGGGGATGGTAGGGATTCGAACCCTAGACCTCATGGTTTCTCGTCATGCCCCTTAACCATGTCACCTAGAGGTTCCCCAGCTACGACTTGTTTGTTCTATGTTAATAGTTAGTTGATTTTCTTTATTTTATAAAAACCTAGAATGTTGTTTTTTCAATTCAACAACAAAAGAAAAAAAAACATTACAAATGTAGAAACAAAAAAAAACAGAGGAAGGTTATAATTCCATTTCATGCATTTTAGGGGGATAATAATATAACAAAACCAATACTCGGGCCAAGTTTACAAACCCTAGATATTATGCAAATGGAGATTAGCCACCCCACCATGGTCTTCGATTTTTTTAATCAACACATATAAATTAAAATGAATTAAAAGTATTATACATTAAAATAATTTACAAACCACAAGGGTAGAAGGATTTTTTTTTCCCCTTCTTCGAAACGATTATAGGTTTTTCCTGTCGAAAGAATTAAATTTGTGTCGAAAGAATATTTTGGCCGTGTGGGTTCTTGCGTGTCTTTCCATTGATCTCGAATTTGGTCTCTGTGTCAGTGTATGGCTTCGTCTCTGTGACAATGGCGGATTTTCAGAACAAAACCCTTCACGGGATTTAGACAGCAGCATCTGAAAAAACAGGTAAAATCACCGGAGAAACCGTCACACTGATTCTGTCTCCCAATCGTAGCTTCTGTCTCTGTTCTTGAAAAAAGGTCATTTTTTTTAATCTCCTCTGTTCATTTTTTGTTCCTTTATTGCTCTTTGATTCGTTTGTACCAATTCCTGGAAACAAAAATAGCTGCAAAACGTGAGGCTAGTCTAAGGAACTTGTTTGGTCAAGCCCTCTTGATTTTCCTCGGGGAAGAAGGCTGCAATAGACCTCCATTGATCTGTTTAAGCTGTTTGTGTTGGTGAGTGAGTGAGAGAGAGAGAGAGAGGGAGAGAGGGGGAGAGAGAGAGAGGAGGGTCTGATTCGGTATCTAGGAATTGCTTGTGAGGAAATGAGGCAAATCAATAGGGTTTGGAGTGTGGAGTTTCTCCATTTGTAAGGTTGATGTGCTCTAAAGACTTGGAGAGAATCGAGAAATGGGCGATGGAGAAACCGAAGATTGTGAATTGGGATGAAGAGGATTGCCAAAGCGGCGGTTCTTATGGAGCAATGTTGCATGAGCTAAGTGATGGATTAGAGGGTTTGCTGAAAGATGGTTCGGGTCAAAAGTACATAATAGAGAATGGAGCTTTGGTTTTCGGAAGTAAGCATACTGTCAATGGAATCGATGGATCGGAGTTGAAATTGCTCGACTCAAGGAAAAGACTTAGAGAAAGCAGCAGCGACGATGAAGAAACGTCTTGTGTTGTTCTTGATGATGATGCTTTGGCTTTGAGTTCTGAAGATGCTGAGACCAGTCAGATTTTGCGGGCGGGAAAGCAAGAAGCTTTGCCCGAGATGATGAAGTGGCTCACTCGGGCTGCGAAATGTCCTCATGGTCCTTCGGTTGGGGTGATACCAAATCTGTCAAAATGGAAGGAACATACAGGAAATGAGTACTGGATCCAAGTTATTAGGGCAAAAGAGGCTCTACTAGTCCAAAGACGGAATACCGAATCAAGAACTCAACATTTTCTGCTTCAGGTGCCATTCTCACTGCGAACATTTTACTCTTCTTGCATACTCTCATAGGATGTTGTTAATGTTCTACATTCTCTATCTTCCCTCTTTCCTTTGCCTCTTGTAACTAAAAACATCGTTGTTTGATGTTAAACGTAACTGATGATTGAAATCTCAGGTTCACCAAAAAATGGATCCTTCTATGTATGAAGACGATCGCCAAACAGAGAGCTTAAGATGCAGCATAAGGCGTCTTGATGTATCCAAAACCCGTTCTTGCTCATGTTGCAATGAAAGTCCAGTCCATCAGACAAAACTGAGATTTACCAAGAACAGAGAACCAAACCGCGTCTCTAAAACTGAAACACCCGAGAGAACAGACCCTGTTGCAGGAACATCAAGGGCAATGGCTGAATCATCTGAGACAGAGATCCCTCGACGGCACGTGCCTGTAGGACCCCTTTTCCAAGCCCGAGTGCCTCAATGGACAGATCCCGTTTCAGACAGCGATTCCAAATGGTTAGGAACAAGCATATGGCCTTTGGAAAGTGAAGAAAACATCGATTCAATCGGGAAGGGAAGGCCAGAGTCTTGCAGGTGTAGACTCCATGGTTCCGTTGAATGTGTTAGATTCCACATTGCGGAGAAGAGAATGGACTTAAAACGTGAACTGGGTCCTGTCTTTTTCCTCTGGAGATTCAATCAAATGGGTGAGGAAGTATCATTGGGATGGACCGATAGGGAAGAAAAGAGGTTCAAGGACATGGTAAGGTCAGATTCTCATTGGTTCTGGGAAAATGCTTCCAAATGCTTTCCAAGGAAGACGAGACGACAGTTGGTGAGTTACTACTTCAACGTGTTCCTGATTAACCGAAGGCGGTATCAGAATCTTGTGACTCCAAGACATGTAGACAGTGATGATGACGAAACCGATTTCGGAAGCGTAGGTTACAGTTTTGGACATGAGGCTGTTAGGGTTTTTGGTTCAGATATCATGACATGTTCTGAGAACAAGCAGTGCAGTGACTTGGACTGAAGCAAAGATCCGAAGGAAAGCTTTTTGGTTTTTAGATATGATAGAACTCTTAGACAGATATGTAGAAAAGTTTTGCTTTTTCGGAATCGAATCTGAGCGGTTGATCCATTTTTGTTCATTATGACTGGAATTGCTCCAGTCATAAAGTTTCGATCTTTTTGCCATTTGATCATAAGAATCGAAACACGAAGAAGTTCATCACAGTTCTGATCCCTTGGATCATTTTCATAACTATGGTTGCTGTTTCAGAGGAGGTGAAAGATAACGTGGGAATCAAGTCATCGGAGGAAAAAACGACGGAGGAGGGAGTACATCTTATTTAGCAGCCAATTTATTACAGGTTTGCCCTTATAGCTCAGTGGTAGAGCCGTCAGTCTTGTAAACTGAAGGTCCCGAGTTCGATCCTGCTTGAGGACTCTTATTTTCTACTTACACAGAAATAATTTTTTCCTACTCATATTGTTTTTTTTCTAAAAAAAAAAAGAAAGTATTTTAGAAATCATATCAAATTCGAATAACTCAGAGATTGCTGTTGTAAGAAAAAAAAAGACAGTAATTGCTTATAGCATGAAAGTTTTATTACTAAATCCTCCGTATAAATCTAATTTATGGTAAGAAAAAATGATAATAAAAAAAGTGAGAGAAACTCTAACTTTTACAACAAGAAACCTAAAAACCCTATGGTGAAGCGTTATGAATCTGATGAACACTGGACAAAAGCCTCGTCAACTTACTCAACGTCTCCCGAGCAGACACAGTCAAAGGATGATCCTCGCCTGAGATCGATGTCCGAATAAATATTGCTTTTCTGATCAGATCATCGGCAATTCCAAACTGGCCTCCGCGCAACATCAGCTTGGCTCGAGTCTCCAACACGGTGGCTCGAGCCAAGGCCAGTTCTTGCCACAGAGCAGGGTTTAGCTGGGCGTTCGTATGAACCGGTCTCCAGCAGAGCGACTTGTCGAGCCACTTCTCCACCGGCATTACCAGCGTCTGGTCGGCGGCTTCCAACGCGTTCGTGCAGACTCTGAGAAGCTCTAAGGCGGCGCTGCACCGCGAGAACGTGATGAAGGTTCTGATGGCGAGCGGGAGGATTACTTGTTTGACAAGAAACAGGAGTTCCGAGATCTTCAGCTGCAGAATCGGAGTCTGGCTGGAGAAACCGAACAGCAGAAAACACGCCGCCCAGATGTGTTCTGCGGTTTCCGAGATCGAAGCACGGTTAATCACGGCCTGAACCATTGCCGGAGCGTTTTCGTTCATCGGGACTCGTGTTCTAGCGTAGAGCTTCATGAGCTGTTGGACATGGATGAACCCTTGTCTGGAGCAGGTTCTCGCGATGTTGAATCTCAGTAACATAGAGGCGGCTTCGGATTCCGATCTCTTGGCGTAAGAGGAAGTGAATCCGCAGGTTAAAGCGCGTATCAACTGTCTCCGCAATCTCGGGCCTCTGTTCTTGTCGGGGAGTTTATTAGCAGCTAGGGCTAGGACAGGGACCGGAACGGGAGCAGGCCCAAACCAGGCGCTCGCCATCACCATTCTCGTGGCCAAGCTTCTCGGGCCATCCGCGTGATCGAAGATCGAGAAACACACTTCAAAGAGTTGCAGAAGAAACATGTTCCGTCTCAGAAGATTAGCGTCTCGTCCGTTCGACGAAATCTCTCTCAACGGCATCCTGTTTATCGTATCCAACAGCCTGCTCGGGTTTATGGGCAGCTCTGACAGTATCGTTCCAACGATGGCGAGGCCTAAGGTTAAGCGCCCGAGTTTCTCCTCAGTAGCCCGAAGAGCGTAGACAGCGATTACAAATG